TAAAGTAGCATTCTTCAAGGGGCCTACTTTTCTACATTTAAAGCATTCATTCTCTATGTATAAAGTATAAACCTACAAATTTCAGGTGGCATATAAAGTCCAGCCTGTTGAGAGCCACAGCCCAGTCAGAATGATGCCTGGCATTTGCCAGAGGGAATGTTTCAAAAGTGATGCCAGCAAACCATTGAGATGATGATTTGAGTTAAGCTATATATAATTGTTGTGATGCTGGATTGATTGAATTGCATATTTGACCTTTACTGTCGGGCAATGGGGCAGCTCTTGCTGCCTCAGGCGCCTGCTACTTTGGAGTTTCTGTGAGTTCTTGGTGGGGGGGGGTTGGGGAGATTGGACAAAGCCTGGTGGAGGGAGTGTGTTCCTGTGTGGTGTGTGCAGTGCTGGTGAGAGTTGGGAAATAAAGAGTGGCTGTTTGAATCTACAAGGCTTTGTGACAGCTCGGTTATTTGTGCCCAGCCAGACTTCAGCACCAGCCTCTTCCAAGCAGAATAAGGATATCCACAATCTGTCCCAGACTACTCTTCCTAGCTTCACCTTTCATAATCCCTGCTCACACACTCTGGGCCTCAACTGAAACAATGAATCTTCAGATAGAACTGAACTTTTCCAGGTCCATGCCTTGCTGTTTGCCTTTCCCTTTTCCTGCTAACCTCCCCAAACAGCTTTTCTTTTCATATTCTACAAAAATTAAAATTTGAGCTTACTCAGCTCATAGAAATCTCTCTGAAACTCAGGAACATTTATTATCATTTAAAAACAAAACAAATCTCTACATGTAAATATTATTTTATGAAACTTTTAGTGTTTATTCAAAACAGAAGAAAATAAGCACTTTAAAGTATTTACCATGTATTAGGCACTCTGTTGAACACTTTATATAATTAATCTCATTAAGCCAGGATTATTATGTAATTATTTTCTTGTTTTCATTTAATTTTTCAAGTGTTTATGGTTCATCTCATCTCCAACCAGATTATAAATCCCCTATGGGCATAAATCTTCATTTATACTGTAAGAATAAAAGAAATTGAAATTAAAGTTAAAGTGTAAAAGACCGGATATTGTAAAGTTTCTAAGCTGCAAAGCCTGAGTTAAAATGTAAAAGACAAGGTATTGTTA